GAAGGACAGCTTCAAAAATGTACTGGGGGAGGTGTAGGCAGGAACTCCACATTGCCCCGGTCTGCTGCTCATCTAGGTGCACTCCTCCTCCACAGGATCCTCATCAGTGGGGGGGTCCCACATCAGCAGCAGCCTCTCCCCACACCAACTTTTAGACCTCTTTAGAAACACTTAAGACGTTACACACGGTGCTTCACATAGCAGTTCTTGTTCAGGGTTATGTCCTCATTTCCTGGCACAAATCAATGGGCTACTTTCATGGTTTGGTTTTGGGTTGCTTTTATCTCTTCCTCCCTGAGGAGCTGCAATTTCTATTCCAAGGCAGAGTCGTGCTTCAGACACACGAAGCAGCATATGTTATTTCTTCAGCTACCAATCAAGACACTGGAAGAAACCAGCCTGGTATTTGTATATGTGTCATTTCATAAACGCTAGGCAATACCCTAGAACTGTCTTCATTGCAGCACTCAATCTGTCCCCACCAGACAGCCTAAGAAAAGGAAGTGATACAAGTGACAGAAAAGGAGGCAGGCTACAGCAACAGAAAGGTTTAGTCTTTAAGAAAGTAATTTTAGTGTGAAGAAACAAGGAGCAGCAACTTTCTTGCTCATCTTTAATCCCTTGTCCACACACTCTGCACAAAAGTCCCCGAAGAGTTCACACAATAAAAATCTGGCTACACCAACTCCTCACCCACTTGACACAATCCTAAGGGTCCGCCTGCGACTATGACAGCTCCTGACAATTTCACACCAAGGGAGCCAAAACGGAAAACAAGAAGCAGGACATTTGGCCTGTAGCTATCTGGCAGCGAGAGGCACAACCAAAGGAACTGGTTCCAAAGGCAACATGTGGCACTGTGGGACAGGGAGATCCACGAGCAAGGGGGCTGCCAGCCAAGTAAGTGTTGCTTCATGGGGACAGACAGACAACAGCAGCAGTTCTCAGAATAAGCCTTGCCCAAAAACTCCAAAAATAAGTTACAATTTCTCAAAGCAGTCTTTCAGTCAAACATATTTAATATAATTAAAAATGAAAGGTAGATGGGGAGAACTAAATTCCTCTCATTTTAGAACAGGAACTCATATCTTAAAATGCACCAGAGGCATAACCTTCCAGAAATGTTTTTCCTGTCACGTCTTACTGTTTAATTATATATTACCATTCCAAGCTACCACAACAGATTTTAAGTTTTCTTTTTTCCATAATTAATCATAGCAAAGACTCATCTGTTCTTCAAGCACAGTGATGACAGCACTGTTTTTACCACTGTAAGATAATCATCCCACAGCATTCCTTCCCAAGAGCTATTGCAAAAAGAGAAAAACTCACCTATCTTTACAAGATGCTTTCCAAAGACATAAATCAGCTCCATAAACCTTACTTCATACTACAGGTAAGTAAAAAATGGAAAACTGCTTTTCCATAGCAAGCAATCATACAGACACACAGGCATAGCACAGGCTAATAACACTAAATAACACTTATGAACATATAAACATATGAACATATAAACCTAACATAACCATCCAGGAACAAGCATCCTACTCACTAAACATCATTTAACCATCAGCATCCACCACTGGTGCAGGAAGAAGGGAGGCAGATTTTTTTGTCCTTCTGCAAACATAAGGCAGCTTCTTTTATAGACACCATAGCCAAAAGTTATTTCATAGGCAGCTTTGGTCACCATCATATTCTATTCTAAGTGCAGAAGACGTATCTTAAAAATAACTTGTAGCTACATATAGATTGGTGCTAACAAACTACCTAATCAAGGAGGAGCTACATCCAAAGCAGAAAATGATAAATGCTAATTGGACAACAGAAAAAAGTCTTAACTTTTTTTCATATCACAAGTAACAGAAGTGATATTACAGGCAGGGAAAATCTCTGCTTTGGAAGATCACGCATTTATCACTTATATAGCACATTTATTTAAAGTTTTCTTTCTGACTACTGGAATTAAAAGTATTTCCAACATAATCAAAAACATGCAGCGATGCCCACTGCATGTGTGTTATCCTCCATCCTCTCAGTGAGAACACCTCAAAGAATAAATTGAGTCCTTGTAAAATTACTTTTTCCTCATCTGTGAAATCCTATGAGATGCACAGGATGTTGCCCTTTTTTTTATAAGCGACAAATAGAAATCCTTTCTATTCTAATTGATTAGAATAGAAACTGATAATTTATTTTGATTGCTCTACAGAAAAATTATAATTTTTTGCAGTTCTCCTACATCCTTGACATGGCATGCTGGTAGCTTCCCAATTACAAGACAGTAAGAAAAAAATTATGTAGTTTGTTCTGCTAATAAAAACAAGCACAGGTGGGCGCCACACAGCCCTGAGCAAATGTAAAACTTCATGTGTCTTAGTACAGTCTCATAAGAGTGAATTTAGATCAAGACTCAGGTTTTCAATAACCAATACACTGCACATATTGACAGTGCCACCTTTACAGCTTTCTAATTGCTTCACAGTTTTAGAAAGCAAGATAACTAAAGCAGCCCTGACTACAGAAAAGACAATATATTCAGTTGACAGGCTGCTAAAGACTAAAGTTTACACTTGTATCCAGATATTTAGAAGCATTTTTACTAGTATCACACTTTGTTAAGGCATGACCTCAAAAGATTCTGGTATTTCAAATTATAATTTTCTTCCAAGTTATAAACAACAACAAAAAATATTTAGCCATGAATCTTAAATATCACTTTTAGAACATTAATATTTTTAAATAACCATGATATCCTGACAGCTTGGTGATCTGTTCAAAAGAAATGATGAAAAATATGTTGAAAGAGACAGACAATTGCCCAGGAGAACAGAGAGAAAGTGATCTTTACATAGGACATTACACATCTATCTCCTTTTATTTACAAGAATAGAGTCAACTATTTTCAGTGTTCTTATTTAAAAATGCATAGGAATAACACACACTAAAAAAGTATTATGACACTACATCACTTGATCACATATTAAATCACTTAAGGGATTTTTCACCCACTGTAAGTGGGTTTTGTATTTTATTTACTGACTGAAAATATTAAATGCCTATTTGCATGCTCTCTCTAATCAAAGTGTTAAAGAAATTTCCCATATCAGAGGTGAAGAACTAACAGAGCAGCAAGAAACACAAAAACGGCCTATTTTCTATGACAGAAGAAAGTGGCGATCCTAAACCTTGTTTGTTTCTGATCTCGAGCCTCAAAAGCCAAACTCCTTAGCTACCCAAATATTAGTAAGTTAGAAGACAACACTTGTACTGTATTTCAAATCATTTAGACTGAAGAGCTTTTCATACCAGATAAATCGTCCCAGCAGGAAAACTTAGTTGTTTGGGTTTTTTTTAACTAAGTATCAATTTAGCATTCTCTTTCTAAGATACCCAGGAAAAAAAAAAAAAATCAAAGCATAGCTTAAAATATTTTCTCCTCAGTCCTGACAACCCGCCTTTAGTTTGCTGTCATCTGTACTTCAGGAAACTTCAGCCCTTTCATTAAGAAATCCCTCCTACAGGTTTACTTGTAGTGAATGGTTCAGATCTGAACTATGTAGTACAGTAATTTACTCAAAGAAAGTACATATGCAGATGCAAAACAGTGTAATATTTAGAAAACATTAATTATTTCAGATCAATCATCACTCACTATTTTTAATCTAATGCTCAAGTCTTTTAGCCTTGTATTAGAATATTTGTATTAGAGCATTTTCTCAATAACACACAAGAGGAAAGTTGAAGGGGTTTTAACAGGAGATCTGTTCTAACCAAAACAACAGAACTTACTGTACAACTAGTTCATTCATGAAAAACCTCCGATACAGCCATGTTTCCTCACACATCCTATAAAACTGTAGTACTTACATACACACATGCATAAACTGTCTGCAAGCCATACCCAAACTCAAAGCCCTTTGAGATGCTGACTATGCACTTACAACCAAATTAAGTTATGCCCAGAGGTTTCAGAATAACAGCAGAAAACATAAACCACCACTACAGAATTCAAGATGAAAAACCACAAGCATCTGTTTCATAAATTGCACTTCCAGAAGTTAAAAGGAAGACTGCCTCAGAAAGGTCGTAGAAACAAACTACTCAAACAATGACGGGATCCAGATTCAAACCTGCATCCTACATAATCTGACATATCAAATCATGACCAATTGAAGAGTTGGAGTTTTTATGTGTGGAACATTTTAAAAAACCACACTGCTAGGTTTCAGATATCAGAGGAAGGTCTTTTGACAACAGGAGCATTTTGCATTTAAGAAACCAAAGGGAGACTGTGAGCCTAAGTAAGTGAGCATCCAGTCTCTGGATGAAGCACAGTTTTCTAAAGGTTTAAACAACAGCTGTCCCTCCAGAAGCTCTATGCTCTCGCTGCTAAAGTGAGAGTACCTCATTACCAACCTCAACATCCATCAGAGCCTCAGGGGACTCCAACATACTAAAACCAAAGAAACTCCATGTTTTTCCAATAACCTTCAGATCTGTTACATGAATGTTTTGCTAGAGGAAATGCCTGAGTGAGTAGCCTTAGACAACTGTTTTACATTAAGAAGGAACTACATTAATTTACTGCATGAGTACTACTGCAATGCACTTTTAGGAGGTACAGTATTGCGGTCACAGTTGCCATTTTCAGTGTCTGAGAATAAACACAAAAGCTGCCAACACTAGCTTGCATAAGAGCACTTTAAGCAGATGGTTATTTACAAAAGTAGAGGTAATTATAATGCAGGAGGTGGATCCCAAACAAACAGACTTGACTAATAGTGGGGAAAAAAAAAAAAAACAGAGACCTACAATCACTATTACTTAGTAAGTAACACTAGAAGAGCTGAACGAACAGCATCAGTCATTCACTGTATTACCAATTTATGCCCTCAAAAAAACAGCTGGACAAACGTGCTGTTTAAAAACGCAAGCTGATGTCAGAAGATATGCATAGAGAGAAAAACAGGAAAACACCGTTCCTCTCGACAGCTTACCTGATCTCGACTTAATAATATCGCTGAATTCGCTGTGTCCCCCGCCAGGTCCTTCCTCCGGGTCGGAGACACGGGCCATGTTCGTGGGCTTGGGGTACGCCACGGGCGGAGCCTAAATCCGTCGGGGGAAGGCTCCCATGGAGGGCCCCCGGGTCAGCACCTACAGCACGGGATCAGGAGCAGAGAGGCACGGTAACTCCACGGGCTACACCAGGTGTGACTCCATGTGCGACGGGAGGGATGGAGGCTTGCTGGCCATGGCCACGCGTAGCAGGGCAGCCGATCGGCCACTCGCTGTGCCCCAGACGTGGGACACCTTATGGCATTTAAAAAGCGAGATGGCCGAAAAGGTGCTGCCGGCCGGGAAAGCCAAGCTTCAGTCACCCCTGGGCGTCAGGGAGCGCCGTGCCCACCCGTGACCCTCGGAGGGGCAGGACACGGCCCTTGCCGCGACATCACCGCCACCACCCGTCACCCAGCTGGCACCGAACGGGACAGCCCCGCTTCAGAGGGTGGCAAAGCCAGAGAGCTCCGCTCCCGCCGGGCCGGGGCGTGTGCCCGCGGGGAAGGGGACACAGCCAGGCGCGCTGCCCCGGCCGGCCCGGGGCGCGACAGCCACGTGTGCGAGAAGCCGCGCAGCCCCTCTCCCGGGTGGGGGAGCCGAGTCCCGCGGGACAGGCCCCACACACGGCCCCAGGCACGCACGCCCCCGCCCGGCCGCCCCAGCAGAGCCACCGCCCCCGCTACCCGGGCGGGGATTTTGACCCGGCACCGGCCGGGCGTGCCGGCACCTCCTCCCCGCAGGGTGCGCGGCCGCAGCAGCGCCGCCACCGCCATGGGGCACCCCCGCGGCGGGGCCGCCCCTCACCCCGGCTCCCCGCGGCCGCCCCGTCCCGTCCCGCCCCGCCCCGCCCCCAGGTGTGCCCGCCGCGGGCACTGCCCCCTGTGCCCCCACCGCCGCTCGAGTTGGGGAACAAACTTTCCCCGCCGCGCCCCTCCCGGCGCCGTCTCCTCCCCGCGGGGCTGCCCAGCCGCTCCCAGGGCACCCGCCGAGAGCAACTCGCCGCCGCCACTCACCCCTCGGACACGGCGGCGGGAGGCGGCTCCGCTCCCCCACGGCACAGCCCGGCTCCTCCCCGCACCCCCGCTCCCGGCGGCAGCAGCTCCCACGACGCTGCGCTGGCGGACCCACAACTTTCTGTGCGAGCCGCTGCCGTCCCACCTCCTCCTCCTTCCCCGCCTCGCCTCGCCCCGCCCCGTCCCGCCCCTCCCCTCCTGGCCCGGCCCAGCCCTGTGGAGGCCCCTCCCTCGGCCCCGGCGCCCCCTTTGTTGGCCAGGCCAACGCTGCGGGTGAAGGAGGGTTGTCCCGGCCGCGGCCCCTTCTCCGAGCGAGGGGCGGGAGGGGCTGGGCTGGGCGGGGGCAGAGGGGAGGGGAGGGGAGGGGCGGGGCGGGGTGAGGTGAGTACCCGCCGCGCCCCCGCCCCGAGCCCGCGGGCGGTGGCCAGCGCGGCCCCGCTGCTCCCTCGGCACCGCCCGAGGAAGCGCCGGGCCCGGCGGTGGTTCCCGCTCCGCTGCTCCGCTGGGGCCTTCCCGGCCGCACCTGTGCGCTCCCGCCTCTCCTTCTGCTCCTTTTCCTCCACAGATCAGCGCCGTCGCGCAGCACCTCGGAGTCTCGTTGCTCCCCGCGGACGGCGAAGTCAGGGAGCGTGACGAAATTTGAGGCACACTTAGGGCAAATACGCACATAACAGCGGGAACCAGCTCTCCTGACACCGGCCAGGTGCCCGTGCCTCAGCTCACGGGGTCGCTTGGCAGCGATAAGTCCCGGGTGCTTTTCAGCTGGGCAAGAAAGGGACAGTACGGATGAGTAAAAATGAGCTGGATGCTGGGTGCCTGCAGTCATTTTTGATGTATGAACGTTAGTAAAATATTTAGCCTGCACTAATTAATTCATTGCAACAATTTGCCATCTGGGAATGAATTTATTCATGTTTGCTCAGGCCAGTAATCTGCACTCACCTGTGCTGTGAGGCTGCTGAACACGTGGCCCGTATTTATCTCAGTAAGCATTAGTCTGAAGTCTCAGCAATATCAGAGAGAAACTGTAGCTGAGTAATTCCTTAGTGTTACCTGCCAGGCCTCAGCCATCCAGCCCAGTACGTTTTCAAGGTTAGATGCATTTCCAACACTGAGTACCTCACTGCCTTAATAACAAAGGCCAGCAGTCTGCAGAAAAGAAGGTACAGAATTTATTAGCCAGCAGAAAGGAGGAAGCTCAGGCTTGGCAACATTCTTATTCTGTATCTCCAGGTGAACAGAAATTGGTAGGAATGTGAAATTACAAAGATTTGTCTTCAAAAGTCTTTTACTAGTATATAGCTCATGGGTTTACAAGGCACTACAGATAACAAGAGTAAACAATGATTGCATGCGTTTTAGCCTAACCTAACTTCGATATTTCCCCCAAGGAAAAAAAGAGATACCTCAAAGAAACAAAACATGCTGCCTGTAAATTACTGTTATTGTAATTCTAACTGCATTTAACATTTTTTTCCTCAACCTTTGATCTGTGCAGTGCATGTGGAACAGGGACTGGGTCTTTTGTTTCTGTATGGAGGGCCTGGCAGATAGTGTGCTTTTTCGAGGAAGGCCCAAAAGTGAAGATGACTAGTTTGGATCATTCCCTAGATTTCCAGGGTGATTCAGTGCAAAATAGTTAATTCATACTTGATCTGCATAATCCAAAGTCATTAATGGTTCTTACTTATAAAAGGATAATAATAGTGTGTCAGAAATGTTGTGGTGACTGAAGTTGTGAATCTATTGAGAATTGCAACTCATGGATGACAGACACTATAAAACCATGGATATCAGTGTCTGACTGTAAGACAGCACTGAGCACAGTAGGCTGGATTTGCTGGAAAGGTATTGTCTGTGTTTATGCCTATTTATTTACAGTACACTGAGAAACCTGTACTGCAAACATAATGCTTGTGGTTAGAGGAGCACCACTTGTTCCCTGCCTGCTGCCTTGATGCTCTTGACCGAGCAGATGGTTTCTCTGTCCCGTCTCATGCATTCCCCCTGCATGCTGGATTTCCAGTGTCCAATAATGAAAAATACACCCAAACACTGGAAATCCAGAACCCAGATGTAAAACAGCTGCTTTTCATACAGTTCAAGAGGCATATAAATCTGTGGAACCCAGTGCACACTCAAGAGCCAGCACAAATGGAAATTGTCATTTCACTACTGGGTATCCAGCAGCAGTGCAGGGACAGGGATCTCAAAGCACCACATTGCCTTGCCTAATGCAGGGAAATGCTAAGTGGAAAAAAGCCCTTTCTTTTGTAGGCTGCACTGAGGGGATTACTCATTTCACAGAGGTTACCCAAGACCGCTATCAGGTAGCAATAACTTTGATTGCTAAAAGCTGCAGTCAAGCTGATAAGCAGGAGGGGAGAGCTGGTATATCCCATTTCAAATCTCTGTGTGTAAAGTCCAAGGTCCTGATTTTTATAATCTTGCTCTGAAAGCACCTACAAATTATTTCTCAAAAACAGACACAGTTCAACCTGATAGTATTTTCTCTTTTTTTTTTTTCTGTTTTAGACAGAAGTAGCATCATTATCTTCCTCTGAACTGCAAAGTGCCAACAGAAGGCTAATAGAATAACAAAAACTGCACCCTACCTCAGGGAAGCAGGAGAATTTTTTTTCCTGGCATGTTTCAAACATGCCTCTTTCCAGAGCCATCCTTACTCTGCTGCTGATCAAAGCCTGAACTTTCTGAGCCAGTTGTTCAGACTTTAGGCTTCTCAGTTGAAGGGCTATAATTTTTATATCAGGGTCTTTAGGCACAGCTCCATCAGGGGAAAAAAAAAAAAAACCACACCAGAAAAACCACCCTAGCCTTTAATATTCTGTACATGTGTATGCTTTAGGTCTCTCTAATTTTGTATACCAGTGATTTGCAGACTTAGAAAATGATGACTAGTACTATTTAAAAAAAAAAGTCTCCAGAGAGTTGTGTTTCTAAAACCTACATTCATCTACAAATATCTTAGGTGCTGCAAACATGGATTGTGTGGCACAACTTACTTTTCTGTATATGCAAAATAAAATAGGAAAATAAAGGAAAAGTCCATTAACTCCTAAATAATGTTACGAAAGACAAAGGGAAAACAGAAAAAGAAACAGTGGAGAAAGGGGATGAGATGATGTGAGGCCTTTGAACTTTGACCAAAGTAAATAAATACTTTATTCCTTGGTGCATGGAAACAATGCTGTTGTGAGGCTCTGAGCTCATCTTACCCTCTCTTTTCTTTCTCTTTTCTTTTCCTTCTCTTTTCTTTGTTCTTAGTATTTCTGGTTTTAGAATACACTCATAATTGACAGGATTACAATATAATTGGGAATTTTGTGTATCTCATTACCTTGAGATTGACTGCTATAATAATGCACACACCCATTCATCAATATTTTGTCATGATTTCAGAAAACCTTTCCATATTCAGGAAGACACCAGATACCAAATGGATTGCTTTGTAAGTAAAGCATCTTTATTGCCCCTTTCAGTATAGCCCATCATTGTGCTGCCACTCTCAGTTATCAGATCAGGCAGGCTGTTACTCAGCAGACATTTTTTCCTGCAGAACTTGCATCTGAATTCAAGTAAGAGCTCCTTGGTGCTTTGGTGCTGACAAACTGCACTAACCAGTTAGTACAAGTCCCTTACTAATTTCATTATTGTTACTCTGAGGAGAAAAATACATAAAAGGACATATTAAATAAACATTCTCTCTTTATATGAAAAATGACCAAGTTTTTCTAACTCCTTTGGCATTATCTTTGAAAGACTTCAGTACGTCAGGCTAACATAGCTGGTTTCTCATCCCTTCCCTGTAATCTCTAAGTGTGTTAGAGTTATCTTTGTTGTTCAGTGAAGTATCTGATACTGAAATAGTCAAAATCAGCACAATTTTTAAAGGTGGGGCAGCATTTTCTGCCTTTGACTCCTTAGGATGGAATGTTATTTTAATGTTAAATTGGTTATTTTTATTCTGAGGTCAGTTGCCTTTGTGTGCAAGCTCCTTCTGAGCTCCTCCAAGAACATCAACATATCTTAAGAAATTCAACACTGTTCTGCTACACCAACTTAACTATACATTAGGGGTGCAGAGAATGAGGGGGACAGACTGAGGCAGAAGGCAGCAGGAATCATGATAAAGACATCAACCCTGGGTGCAAGATGCCCTCTGAGCAAAATGCCCATCACCTGCACTGCCACAGGTCCACATGGTTTAACCTAAAGAGAAGGCAGTGTATTCCCCTTAGAATACTTCCATTTCTACAAGTTGGGATCTGTATCCTCAGTAGATTGTCTCCACTTTATTTTTTATCTTATTAGATTCGATATATCTATCGATTACATCAGATTAAAGGGAATATTGTGTGCATAAAATGCACTGGAAACTTGTATCTTAAGTTTCAGCAATTTTTTATAGCTTAATTATAAAACCCCAGAAAACTGCGCTCTCTTAATAGAAATGCTGACATCCCTCTAGCTGCAGTGACATTAATTGGAGCTACCATAATTTATCATCATTCTGAAGAATATAACCTCTAAAAGTACATTAGAGTTTATTAATGAACAATTATACTAATCAATTTACCTCCCAACATAACCCTATTAACTGCAGCAGAGGACTGAAAAAAAATCAACAACAGAAATGCCTGTGCAAGACAGGAACCTTTGGCCAACACCGTGAGGCAATCCTCTGCAAGGGCAGGTGTGAATTCTTAGTAAGTCACTCCTAACACAAGTTGATTTCTCTTTATTTAGTTGGTTTTCTATTTATTTCTATCACTAAGGACTGTTTTTTCAGTGCTATTCCATTCTCATTTGAATAGCCTGTGCTATTGCCTGTGCTATTAGCATAGGTTTGTTTAGTGGCTGGACACATAAATACCTAATGCTCGTACAACTATAGAATAAGTACAGTTTTTCACCAAGTTTATCAGTTAGGGGTTAAGAAAAGAAAAAGAATTCCTGTGTTAACACAACACAGAAACTTGGGTAACTTGCTTTACTTTAGTAACTTGGTTCACTCTTGCAGTAGGGAAAAAAATTGAATCTTCCATCATAGGCATATTATATATTAAGAGAAATAATATGATA